AGTAAACCTCACCTAAACACAATATACTACAAAACAATTTACACTGCTGGCCTGCATAAAATATCACTGCATCATGGCTCTAAACCTTCTGATTATTTCAATAATATTGTTCAATATTTAAAAAAATATTTTCCCCTCTGCGACCTTGAAAATATGTCAAGGTCATTTGTTTGAAGAATCTGAAAAGCATTCCATCCCAAGTATCTACTGGCCACATATCATGACCTTTCGCCAATCAGAACTCAGAGAAGAAGTGCCAGTACAATACAATTTGCGACAGTATAATCACAATATACCGCCACAAATCTCAAACTAGAGTATCCCCTAAATGATGGATCATGGACTTCAGCATTAAGTTCATGAAATCAAATATCAGTCAACATTACATCAAATATTCTGCTGACATCAGTCAACATAAAGTTCAGTGACAGGGCCAAGTGTTAGTAGATTGAAGTTTAGAAAATGGTAGGTCAAACAATTAAGGACACCAACATGGAAGCCATGCAAGAGACTGTTTCAAAGTTTTAAGTACATTTGCTGAATCAATGATAAGTTTATATACAATGAATTCTATTTTTAATGATTAATTTTTTAAGTCTGGTATATATGTTGAATCAATGTTACATGCAAATAATTTTCCCTACAGTTTTCTTTTGTTTTTTGTAAAGCATTACACTTTTCAATAAAATAATAGCTAAAATTTTCTATAGCTAAACATCTCTCATCCTTAGTATTTAATCTTGAACCTAAACTGTAGGTAAACTTTGACTTCAGGGTAATGCTGTATATAGTACATATTGTTTTGGGACCATATACCTTAATTGATTGTTGTACACAAATGAATATGTTAGTATATGGTACCGACACCCTGTTGTAATCCAAGAGATACCGCACAGGTATGTGTCAATCAGTTGTCAGAGTGTATCAGGTACCAGGCCATTGTCTTACTGAACAATAAACACTCGTCTGTCAGGTAATTATATTAATGTATATGTAAATTACACCCTGTCACATCCCACGGCACAGGTACACCAGAGACTGATCCAATACAGGACAAGAACGTCAGTAATACGACCCTGGCCTGACCATATATAATGGTCCAGTTCCAAGTCATTTTAGTAAACAACACAGAAAACATTATTTTTAACAAAATCTAAATAAATAAGTTAGTCCATTTACTTAATCAAATATTATGATTATGTTTGTTTTGCATTAAGACATCAAGAATAGTTCATGTCAAATAACACTATATAAACCAAACTAAATTACAAACAACACCAAAAAAGTTGTTTCATTAGAACATGATATTAACCAAGCTATGATAATAAGCAGTTGTGATATTAAGTGGATTCATTGTATTATGCATACATTGCCCTTGATTTGATAGGGAAACATGATTCTTTGTTTCCCTGAGAGTAATCATGTTTCACTAAGGGCGTAATTAGTCTAGGTGAAAAAAGATTAATCGAGGAAAGAGAAGAATTTGTGTTTCCCTAAGAAATGGCATAAATATTTCATTACGCTGTAATAGAACAATGACTCAATTGTAAAGCTTATGATGGTCAGGTTGGTGTATAGGCTTCTGTCACTCTGAACTTGGTGGTGGTGGCTCTTGCCCATTTTTCTACAGATGCTCTGATTTTGGGATATATGACTAGGGAAACTCAAATGTGTGAGGGTGATATGATGTTTTATTTCCCTGTTATGTGACCAATCAGACACATAGATGAGGTATAATAAAATATGTTGAAGCTTTAAACCTAAAATAGATTAACCAAATTTAAGATTTCAAGATAAATTCCATTTCTCTTATCAGACACGCACAAGTGATTTGACAACCAAACCAGTAAGTATGTAGGTTTAACTTATTAGTGTTATTGTCATTGGGCGGTATTTCTTGCCTTACACACCTAAACACAAATACTGTTCTTGAATCAAATATCATTTAGGACAGGTCAATATTTATCATCATGTTATTGATATAAATCCTTCCCTAGTCAGGTCTTCGATGGCTCATTAAATATATGAATACAATTGCGATTGCTTTTCCCCCAGTCTGTTGTACAGTTTTAACTAGAATTACTTCAGTTAAAATATTTCACCTCTGTGTGTTGATTGTACAACTATGTATTTCCTACTGTTTCTCACAATATATTTAATATTTGGTACTACACCTTTGAAATCTGTTATGGTTTGTGTATCAATTAAATCTGTATGGTACATCAATCTACTTTTTAATCACCTATAAGCACACCATTATTCCCCTAAACACAATTCTTTGTTTCCTTTTTCTCAACTATCACACCTCCTTATCAAACACTAATGAATACAATATAATACATGAATTTTTGTTTGAATATTTATATGAGCATATGATGAGAGTTTACCCACACAAAATGCCCAAGGAATTTCAGTTCACTTACAAAGGTCATTTCTAGTCATTACACTATCCATATATTCACTCTGAAATCTTCATTAATGTTTGGGTTTCAAATACTCACGAGTACAAAAACAGTCATTTCACACAGCAGACGGAACTAGGAAAACATTCTATATTTTTGTGATTATATTTGTACTTAATAATTTAGAAAAATTTCAAATGAAGAGTTCACTAATTGTGTCATTTGTAATCTTGATATCAGTATAAGTGTCCTTAAATGAAAGGTAGAAAATGTTTAGGTTTAATTGATAGGAATAAGTGTTTATACAAACTCATCACTAAGTGATAAATTCTAATGAGGAAACCTACTCAACACTAAGACATTTGATTAAATAGCCCTTCACTAAATACTGTTAATTCAATATTTACTTACAACTCTGAGAGCTCAGACACAAACACCTAGTATTGATTGAATCCTCATACAACTGTATATACAAACCAATTAAAACACAATTTGGTCTAAGAATAAACTGCAAAAATACAAACTTTTGATGTTTATCGATCATATTGACGTAAAACTTCGAGTATGTCATTTTTGAATTAGTGGCTGTATGTCAGAATTTGTTGAGTTTATTGATCACTGTGATGTAAAAGTTTGAGCCTGTCATTTTGGAATTATTCCAGCGATAAGTGTCTCAAACGTGTTATAAACCAGCAGGAAACCTCAGTTTACCTCAGCTACATCAACAAATACCGTAAACATTTATTAGTGACACAGCATTTGGTAATAATCCTGGCCATCTGTACGTGGGGTCGATAGTTTTCATGTTTCCCTGCTATGTTAGGTGGGTATAACCAGCCTTATGGATTTCACTCTTAACTTTGGGTACAAATACTACTTAGAACTTAATTTGTCTTCACTAAGACATAACTATACTAAGTCAACTAAGTATTTTGAGCAATCTATCATTCTTCACCTCAAGACAAATTCCAATTATATAAAAAAAATGAAGAAAGGGGCATAACTCTGTAGACCTGAGTGTGGTACAAAACTCATAATTGTAGGTTACATACAAAATAAGGCCAGTGTAGGTGAGTGTGACAGAATGAGATATCCTGGAAGAGTTTTAAATGATGAACAAGGGTTCTTAACTCTATACATTGGGGCACAAGACCTAATTCTAGTCACAATGAACACTCACTATTCTCAATTAGGTAACTATACTTTGTTTTATAAATTGAAAATGATTTGACCTTCAACCTATTGTTGTGTCCATGACCTTTTCTTATATAGACCTCCATCCTTATATATATACCAGAGAATTATTTGTAACACTGTACCTAAAGTTTTCTATGAAATTTTATAATAATATTTTTAGTCATTCATCAGTTATGATAGGTTATGTATTACAATGACTTTAAACTTTGACCCATCACCTTGACCTTTGGGTACACAGAGTACAGCTGGTTTTGGGTAGGATACACCTTTAAATATGCACTTGTACAAACATTATAGTCTACTGAGTTGACTGATCCAGACTCTTCTGTAGAGAACATGACAGCTACCAGATATTGCTCTATAAACCTTAGCGTTTCCTAACTAAATTATTGATTCTGTCTGCATTTCCTTTTAAACTGACAGAATATACAACCTACCTGTAACTAAGTACAGGTAAATGTTTGACGACTAAATAGAAGTAATGTGTAGAGTTGCTATATGTACTGCACTTGACTTGTCTGTACAAACCTCCAGGAAAGATATGTTCTTATCTCAACTCCTACATCGTGACATCCTGCCCAAGTACAGGGTGGTACATTTGTAATAGAGCGGGTTGACTAACATTTTTAACTCATTCACCACTGAAATTTCATAATGAACTAGTCTAACCTTTGAATTGGAAGAGTTCAAATGTGTCTTCAGGGGTGAATGAGTTAATGTCAACATTTTCAATAGGACGAATTTAGAAAATTTCATAATACTAGTATATTGTTTGCAATGTATTAAACCATTGTTCTTATGTTTTTGTTCACTCTATCACAACTGTTTGGAAACAATCATTGTTACCCCAAATAATAAGAAATTGTGATTTAGGAAGTTGGCAAGTGTTTAATTGCCGCGTGCTGTGTTATAATTTCTTTCATCTAAATAAACCCTTACAGTAGAATCTCTACCTGTCTGATAACTAGTCTACAAGTTTTATCATTCATTATAAGTCCTTTGTTCCTTTATAACCACTACCTGTCTACAGAAGCACTCATCCAATAGGACTGTTTTGGGGTTATTTCATAGACATATTGAGATTAAAATCGCTGGGTGTTTTTTTTCTTCAATTACTTTTCAAAACTAAAATAGCAACAAAAATATTCTTATATGCAGCCAAACCTTCTCTTGGGACCACTTATATTAAGGGACCAACTGAGCTAAGAGACCATTTTTAATGTACTCTATTGTAGTTATTTCTAGAACTAAACCTGTATTAAGAGACCACCTGTCTTAAACGACTTTCCAAGGGTTGTCTCTTAATTCAGGTTTGACTGTACATATCAATTGAATAATTTCATGTCACATTTCAGTTTTTAACTCGGAGTTTAATGTCTTTATCTTTTTCATATTTTTCAGGAAACAAGTGAGCCAACCTTCTCCAAACAAATAGGCGATTAGCTGTTAATCTTTCATATAAAATCTCAGCAATGACTTGAAGAAAATTTCGGAATTTCATTTTATGGAAATGGCCAAAATACATCACATGAACCCAATGGCCACGTCTAAGCACTGGTCAGACCTGCGGACGGATGACGACATCCAATCTGCTGTGTCCACCTTCCTTGAGGATGAATCACATAACCTAAGTGGTAAGACGCTACATGAAAGCATTGTGGAGGTTTCCAGGTGGCTCGGGACGCAGATCCAGAAAGAACGGGAAGGTTGGGCCTATAAGATACGTATGGCTATGCAGGAAATAGAAAACCATCGCCGCGAGACATTAAAAATCCACAGTGTAATCCAGGAATGCACCAATCAGCTGAGATTGATTGCTGAATGCTGCAACATGGACGAAGACATCCTGGTGAAAATCTCGCAGGAGGACACAAAGCGGGCCCTTCCTCTATACATTGAGTGTTTGGCCGAGTTGATAAACACCTTAGTGGAGGACCGGTTACAATGTCTGCAGCTCCTCAAACTGAGCGAGGCCGATATTGATGGCCAAACAGTGTTTAGTATGTTAAGTTTGCACTTGCAAAGGCTCGAGTTCAGCAATAGCCAAACACAAAAAGAACGGGACGATCATGTGATGAAACTGGAGCGTGAAAACACACAGCTCATGTCCGAACTAAACCGTCTCAAAAAACAGTTTAACAAGATGCAGGAGGACCATAAGAAATTACAGATAATATTTCAGGCTGTTCAGCAGGACGATCTGCAGGAAACATCACAATCCACTGCCAAAGATGGCAGGGCATCGCCAGTAAGTTTAGCAGCAGTGGTTAAAGGTGATTTCAACGGCATACAAATCACGGAGGAAAAGCTGTTAAAACTTCAATCGAGTGCAAAAAGACTGGAGAGTTCTCTCCAAGATGCCCTCTCACAGATCGACCATTTCCATAATAATACAAAAACTTCATCAAAATCAAATCCCACAAGTAAGCAGTCATCTTCCAAAAACCACAACTACAAACTTAAGCCGCTGATGCGAGCTCGGAGTCCTAACAGAGAGTTGCCCAACATTAAGCCTGCACCGCCAACAAAACTGGCCTATACGCAAAGTTCTCACAGTGACAGGCAACCAAACTCCCTACAGAACACTTTCCTTGAGAAGACAAACAAATCTTTCTCAGATCGGATCAATCGGTTCCAAGTCTCGGACCTGTCTGGTAATTCCGATTCCAAATCTCTTGACTTAAATGATCCACCTGTTCGTATTAAATGGCGGCGGCGAGCAGTCAGCCCTCTCAGTCTGGGTGCAGAACGGACAACGACTCTGAAGGAACGATCTATGCCCAAAATGCAAGCCCCGCAGCATACTTCAAAAATGTTTACCTTCCGATCTCTGGTGAAATCTCTGGACGAAATGAGGGTGAAGAAGTCAACGAAAATGAAAGGTGGGCAGAAAGTCAGTAAATGTTTGCGTTGTCAAAAACTATTTACAAAGAGTGATAACCACAAGAAGGCTTGCTGTTACCACCCACGTAGTAAGGAGAGGGTGGAGGAGTACACAAGTAAGGGGCGCCTTACTAGTGTGTCCTACCTGTGGCAGTGTTGTCGGCAGGGAGTTGACAGTCAGGGCTGTGTGTACGGCCAACATGTCTGACAGGGGATACTCTTGTCGGATGGGGGGGGGGGGGGGGGGGGGGACGTTTGATGTTTGATGGAGGAATTGTACTGTCTGATGGGGCTATAAGAGGTCTGGTAGGAGGCTCTGATGTCCAAAAGGATGTCCTTGAACACGTTTGGTATGGGCTGTTGATGTTCAATGGGGTGGGTGGGGGGTCTTCGATCATGTCTGGTAGGGGGCGCTGATGTTCAGTAGAGGGGGTCCTCAATCATGTCTGGCAGGGGGACATTAATGTCATATGTCATGCATAGGGTGCTTATTTTAATAAGGGGACACTGATGTCCAAACAGAACGCCTGCAAATCATAAGGCTCTGATGCCTGATAAGAGGTACTGGTATTTGATACAGGCTCTGATGCCTGATAAGGGGTATTGGTATTTGATACAGGCTCTGATGCCTAATAAGAGGTATTGGTATTTGATAGGGGCTCTTGACTCAGGCTCTGATGCCTGATAAGGGGTACTGGTGTTTGATACAGGCTCTGATGCCTGATAAGAGGTACTGGTATTTGATAGGGGCTCTGATGCCTGATAAGGGGTATTGGTATTTGATACAGGCTCTGATGCCCGATAAGAGGTATTGGTATTTGATAGGGGCTCTTGACTCAGGCTCTGATGCCTGATAAGGGGTACTGGTGTTTGATAGGGGCTCTGATGCCTGATAAGAGGTATTGGTATTTGAAAGGGGCTCTTGACAAGGGCTCTGATGCCTGATAAGGGGTACTGGTGTTTGATAGGGGCTCTGATGCCTGATAAGAGGTATTGGTATTTGATAGGGGCTCTTGATACAGGCTCTGATGCCTAATAAGAGGTATTGGTATCTGATAGGGGCTCTTGATAAGGGCTCTGATGCCTGATAACGGGTACTGGTGTTTGATAAGGGCTCTGATGCCTGATAAGGGGTACTGGTATTTGATAGGGGCTCTTGATAAGGGCTCTTGATGCCTGATAAGGGGTGCTTGTGTTTGATAAGGGCTCTGATACCTGATAAGGGGTATTGATATTTGATAGGGGCTCTTGATAAGGGCTCTGATGCCTGATAAGCGGTGCTGGTGTTTGATAGGGGCTCTTGATAATGGCTCTGATGCCTGATAAGAGGTATTGGTATTTGATAAGGGCTCTTGATAAGGGTTCTGATGCCTGATAAGGGGTGCTGGTGTTTGATACAGGATCTGATGCCTGATAAGGGGTGCTGGTATTTGATACAGAATCTGATGCCTGATAAGGGGTAATGGTGTTTGATACAGGATCTGATGCCTGATAAGGGGTACTGGTGTTTGATAGGGGCTCTTGATTCAGGCTCTGATGCCTGATACAAAGGGCTGATCTGGCGTGGACACTCACCTCAGATAGAGTTGATCTTTTAGGGGATGATCAGATGTCTGATATTGAGTGGTGTATTAAAGTTTGATAGGGCCTTAGCTCAGTTGTAGAAACAAAGTTTTATGATACTGGACGTGGAATGCAGGTTTCCATTTGTATGAGACTATATTCAATTATTATCTATACAGGGTTTAGTTTATTTTATTGCCATAACCAAAAAGATTAGACACAAGTTACAGGGTATGGAATGGAGATTCATTTCCATCAGATAAGTATATGTTATAAGTTCTTTTACAGGGTATGTGTGAAATCTTTATCTAGAAATGTTCAGCAGGGTGAGAAAAGGAAGTTTAACAATAGTAGTCTACAGGAAACAGGTCCAAAGACCTGCTAATGACAGTGATTTCCCGGTGATCACTGCCCCTCTTCCTCTATCGGCGCCTCCTCCATTTTTACCCTACCCCCACATAACAAAATATGATCACAAGGAAATATCAGCTACAGTCTGATCAAGTGGGTTGGGCCAACACATGAACACTTTTTGATTATAAGTTTCTCAAATACATTGTACCTAGAACTTCGAGTTTCTGATAAACATGTTAATTATATTACCACCCCCACCTCTTCTCCTCCTCAGTTTTAAGTGCCCCAGGACCAAATATCATGACTATTGAACAGTTAAACAGTGTAATTACCTCCCTTTAAGTTTAAAGATTAGATCACTTTATCATCTTGTATCATTGGTGCTGCGTGATTAAGTAGCAAACCTTTCCTTACGGTAACAGTGTACTGGGCTGATTTGGTGTTTGTATTGTTTACATCAGATTGTTGTGTTGACCTTATTGTTAATTTATTATATACAAATATTAATCTATGACCAGTATTATATGTTAAGTTTTTTTTATTCAATTGTTAAATAATTGAATTTCTATTTATTACAGTACATGTAGTTTCCAGCTAAGATTTTAACAACTTATACTTTCAGATGAAATTTTAAACAAAGCTATTCACTGACAAATGACATAAATAAAGACTTACCTGTGTTATAATTTTAAATACTTTAATTGGTATTTTTTCTATAAGTTTTTATTCAAATACACATCAATTTTTTTACCTGTTCCTGGCAGTAATTTGTATGATCTTCGGAGGACAAAATGCTCATTATCAAAATAAAAACTGAAAATGGAAGTAATTTTAAAAAGACTTAAATTTGAATCAATAAAGTTTCATAAACATACATACATATTTTGTCCATCCCCTATGACCATTATTTATCAGTTTCCATATCAATATCTACTGTTCAGTAATATAATTGACACTGTTATCTGCATAAATGATGTACATGCATATATTTGCAAACATTTCGTAGGCTTGTCAAGAATTTTCATATAGCTTCCTGCAGCTATAAGTTCATTTCCATCTTAAGAAAACTATTAAAATTATAAACCTGTTAATCAAACTTGTTTTCATTATGTTAAAGAAACTACCTGTTGGGAAATCAACATATGAATTAATTTTGATAAAAAAATAAATAAATTGTGGCTTCTTTTTGAAGACATGTACATTGGTTATAAACTTTCTGTTCGATTCAAATTCAGAATCTAGAATTTTCAAAAACAGTTGATCATGTGCTGATTTCCCACTATCCTAGGTGCCTTGATGCCATTGTTGTCATGTAAGACTTTTCAGGACTAAATATAAATTTTATATATTTTACAACAATTTTGAATCAAGTTTTTAAACTTATATTACCGTATTTGACCGCAAATAAGCCCCCACCCCTAGTGAAAAAACATAGACCAAAAGTAGGGAGGGGGCTTTATTGCAAGCAACCCCCCTCTTCACAAATGTCCGCCATCTTGGATATATACCACTGTTTTGATCTATGACCACACTAAATATCATGTACTTATACACGGTAGTTGTTCAATTGTTGTAAAAATAACAACTAACAGACAGAATATTTTACAACAGTCACCAAAAGATGATTTGTTGATGGTGTTGTTGTTTTTCTAAACTTATTTTCTATCATCAATTGATCTCGACAATTCAATTTTATCCAACATCATTTCAATCACTCTTGTTGGCCTGGATGTTAGCTTGTAGGGGGTCTTAATGTGGGATGAAACTGGAGTACCCAGAGAAAACCCATGTGGTCGGCAGATGACCCCATGCCTTTTAACGTCCGATCACGGAATCGAACTCTGGCCATCTTGTCCAAAGGTGATGGCGTTATTCACTGTGCCAACCATCCAAACAAATAGATCAATTAAGTATCAAACAATAAGCCCATCAGTCAAGAATTTACCATCCAATCATCAATGAAACAAGAGGCCCATGGGCCTTAACGGTCACCTGATGTATTTATACAGAGAGTCGATTTTGTTTTTAACATGAACAAAAAAATTATTCAAAGTGACAAAAAACAATAAAACCACTTTATTTAATATCTAGCTAACAGATTTAAGACTGAAAAGTATTTGAAACTAGCACCTCTGATTCTAAACAAGGAAAATGAAGACATTTTAGCACACTGACGCTTTTGGGCCCCACCCTACAGCCCTTGGGGGTAGGGCTGGCTCAAAATGTTCAAAGTATCAAACTGTCAACTCAGGGTTATAATTCCAATCAAGTTATTAACATAAGTATCATTTGCCGTCAATTCAACCCTTTTTGGCCCCACCCATCAGCCCCAGGGGGTCAGTCAGGGCTCATATGTGCATACTATCAAACTGCTACCTAATACTGATAATGCTAACCTTAATTGAATTACTTCCAATGGAAATTAAACAAATGTTGGTCCAAAATGTGATTTCCCCATATAAACTATAGTAAAGTTTACCCCCTCCCCAGGGGGAAACGTGACACCCCAGGGTCAAGAAATTCACAATTTTGGTAAAGCACCTTAAGACCCTTCCATCTATGAAGAGTATTTGATTCTACCATATCTGGGTCTTGAGAAGATTTTTGAAATTTTAGACAATTTGACCCTTTTTGACCCCCTGGGGGCTGGGGACCAAACCGGCCCCTATTTTTGTTGACCTTTGGCCATGAAAGGTTTCTGCAAAATTTCATTGAAATTGGTTCAGGGGTTTTGGAGAAGAAGTCGAAAATGTAAATTGTTTACGGACGCACGACGGACGCCAGACGATGGACGCCGGACACCGCCGGACAAAAGGCGATCGCAATAAGTCACTTGAGACTTTGTCTCAGGTGACCTATAAAAAAATCAATAAAAATCATAGCCCATTTTAATGAGAAGGCAGAGAAATGGTTTCTTGACAGACACATGTTCCCAACAATTCTCTATTTCTATAGTTTCTTTACTACCTTTGCCTTCAGAATAATCTATAACATATCGACTCTTGTTTTGGAGAAACAGTACAATAAAAATCTAGAGCAAATTCTGTCCGCTTAATATATATATAACATTTATATAATTAAA